AAAGGGTACAAACAAAATTACTAGTACAAACAAAGGAGTATCACTATAGATAGATGTTGCCGGCCCTAGCTGCATTGATCGTAGGTGGTAAATTCAAAATAATTTCTTCATTTATGATGTAGCATTGATAGATGCCAGGGTGGCTCTCCAGGTTCGGCATTGCTTTGAAGCAACACCACTGATTTGTTTGGCTAGAGCACACTTTCTTGTCAAGAAACCGAATGAACTCCACCTGAAATCATATATTTGGCAGATCTTGTGAAAAATCAAAATCTAAATGGGTAACCATTAATATAACAGAGAGCGTGCACTAAAAGAGGGCCGGGGGAAGCGGAAAGCGTTACAACATTCCACCTTCAGAAGGGTTACAGATGGGCGGCCTTTGCCCGCTTCCAAACTTGCAAATCCGCGAAATCACCCCGCTGCGTGCCGCCTCTAGTATCAGGTTGAAAAAAGATCCGTGTACACGGAGGGAGGAAGTAGAACGGACCCGGTTCCAAACATCCATTTTTACGGTTGAAAAAAAAAGAAAGGGTACAAACAAAATTACTAGTACAAACAAAGGAGTATCACTATAGATAGATGTTGCCGGCCCTAGCTGCATTGATCATAGGTGGTAAATTCAAAATAATTTCTTCATTTATGATGTAGCATTGATAGATGCCAGGGTGGCTCTCCAGGTTCGGCATTGCTTTGAAGCAACACCACTGATTTGTTTGGCTAGAGCACACTTTCTTGTCAAGAAACCGAATGAACTCCACCTGAAATCATATATTTGGCAGATCTTGTGAAAAATCAAAATCTAAATGGGTAACCATTAGTATAACAGAGAGCGTGCACTAAAAGAGGGCCGGGGGAAGCGGAAAGTGTTACAACATTCCACCTTCAGAAGGGTTACAGATGGGCGGCCTTTGCCCGCTTCCAAACTTGCAAATCCGCGAAATCACCCCGCTGCGTGCCGCCTCTAGTATCAGGTTGAAAAAAGATCCGTGTACACGGAGGGAGGAAGTAGAACGGACCCGGTTCCAAACATCCATTTTTACGGTTGAAAAAAAAAGAAAGGGTACAAACAAAATTACTAGTACAAACAAAGGAGTATCACTATAGATAGATGTTGCCGGCCCTAGCTGCATTGATCATAGGTGGTAAATTCAAAATAATTTCTTCATTTATGATGTAGCATTGATAGATGCCAGGGTGGCTCTCCAGGTTCGGCATTGCTTTGAAGCAACACCACTGATTTGTTTGGCTAGAGCACACTTTCTTGTCAAGAAACCGAATGAACTCCACCTGAAATCATATATTTGGCAGATCTTGTGAAAAATCAAAATCTAAATGGGTAACCATTAATATAACAGAGAGCGTGCACTAAAAGAGGGCCGGGGGAAGCGGAAAGCGTTACAACATTCCACCTTCAGAAGTGTTACAGATGGGCGGCCTTTGCCCGTTTCCAAACTTGCGAATCCGCGAAATCACCCCGCTGCATGCCGCCTCTAGTATCAGGTTGAAAAAAGATCCGTGTACACGGAGGGAGGAAGTAGAACGGACCCGGTTCCAAACATACATTTTTACGGTTGAAAAAAAAGAAAGGGTACAAACAAAATTACTAGTACAAACAAAGGAGTATCACTATAGATAGATGTTGCCGGCCCTAGCTACATTGATCATAGGTGGTAAATTCAAAATAATTTCTTCATTTATGATGTAGCATTGATAGATGCCAGGGTGGCTCTCCAGGTTCGGCATTGCTTTGAAGCAACACCACTGATTTGTTTGGCTAGAGCACACTTTCTTGTCAAGAAACCGAATGAACTCCACCTGAAATCATATATTTGGCAGATCTTGTGAAAAATCAAAATCTAAATGGGTAACCATTAATATAACAGAGAGCGTGCACTAAAAGAGGGCCGGGGGAAGCGGAAAGCGTTACAACATTCCACCTTCAGAAGGGTTACAGATGGGCGGCCTTTGCCCGTTTCCAAACTTGCGAATCCGCGAAATCACCCCGCTGCGTGCCGCCTCTAGTATCAGGTTGAAAAAAGATCCGTGTACACGGAGGGAGGAAGTAGAACGGACCCGGTTCCAAACATCCATTTTTACGGTTGAAGAAAAAGAAAGGGTACAAACAAAATTACTAGTACAAACAAAGGAGTATCACTATAGATAGATGTTGCCGGCCCTAGCTGCATTGATCATAGGTGGTAAATTCAAAATAATTTCTTCATTTATGATGTAGCATTGATAGATGCCAGGGTGGCTCTCTAGGTTCGGCTCTGCTTTGAAGCAACACCACTGATTTGTTTGGCTAGAGCACACTTTCTTGTCAAGAAACCGAATGAACTCCACCTTAAATCATATATTTGGCAGATCTTGTGAAAAATCAAAATATAAATGGGTAACCATTAATATAACAGAGAGCATGCACTAAAAGAGGGCCGGGGGAAGCGGAAAGCGTTACAACATTCCACCTTCAGAAGGGTTACAGATGGGCGGCCTTTGCCCGTTTCCAAACTTGCGAATCCGCGAAATCACCCCGCTGCGTGCCGCCTCTAGTATCAGGTTGAAAAAAGATCCGTGTACACGGAGGGAGGAAGTAGAACGGACCCGGTTCCAAACATCCATTTTTACGGTTGAAAAAAAAAAGAAAGGGTACAAACAAAATTACTAGTACAAACAAAGGAGTATCACTATAGATAGATGTTGCCGGCCCTAGCTGCATTGATCATAGGTGGTAAATTCAAAATAATTTCTTCATTTATGATGTAGCATTGATAGATGCCAGGGTGGCTCTCCAGGTTCGGCATTGCTTTGAAGCAACACCACTGATTTGTTTGGCTAGAGCACACTTTCTTGTCAAGAAACCGAATGAACTCCACCTGAAATCATATATTTGGCAGATCTTGTGAAAAATCAAAATCTAAATGGGTAACCATTAATATAACAGAGAGCGTGCACTAAAAGAGGGCCGGGGGAAGCGGAAAGCGTTACAACATTCCACCTTCAGAAGGGTTACAGATGGGCGGCCTTTGCCCGTTTCCAAACTTGCGAATCCGCGAAATCACCCCGCTGCGTGCCGCCTCTAGTATCTGGTTGAAAAAAGATCCGTGTACACGGAGGGAGGAAGTAGAACGGACCCGGTTCCAAACATCCATTTTTACGGTTGAAAAAAAAAGAAAGGGTACAAACAAAATTACTAGTACAAACAAAGGAGTATCACTATAGATAGATGTTGCCGGCCCTAGCTGCATTGATCATAGGTGGTAAATTCAAAATAATTTCTTCATTTATGATGTAGCATTGATAGATGCCAGGGTGGCTCTCCAGGTTCGGCATTGCTTTGAAGCAACACCACTGATTTGTTTGGCTAGAGCACACTTTCTTGTCAAGAAACCGAATGAACTCCACCTGAAATCATATATTTGGCAGATCTTGTGAAAAATCAAAATCTAAATGGGTAACCATTAATATAACAGAGAGCGTGCACTAAAAGAGGGCCGGGGGAAGCGGAAAGCGTTACAACATTCCACCTTCAGAAGGGTTACAGATGGGCGGCCTTTGCCCGCTTCCAAACTTGCAAATCCGCGAAATCACCCCGCTGCGTGCCGCCTCTAGTATCAGGTTGAAAAAAGATCCGTGTACACGGAGGGAGGAAGTAGAACGGACCCGGTTCCAAACATCCATTTTTACGGTTGAAAAAAAAAAGAAAGGGTACAAACAAAATTACTAGTACAAACAAAGGAGTATCACTATAGATAGATGTTGCCGGCCCTAGCTGCATTGATCATAGGTGGTAAATTCAAAATAATTTCTTCATTTATGATGTAGCATTGATAGATGCCAGGGTGGCTCTCCAGGTTCGGCATTGCTTTGAAGCAACACCACTGATTTGTTTGGCTAGAGCACACTTTCTTGTCAAGAAACCGAATAAACTCCACCTGAAATCATATATTTGGCAGATCTTGTGAAAAATCAAAATCTAAATGGGTAACCATTAGTATAACAGAGAGCGTGCACTAAAAGAGGGCCGGGGGAAGCGGAAAGCGTTACAACATTCCACCTTCAGAAGGGTTACAGATGGGCGGCCTTTGCCCGCTTCCAAACTTGCAAATCCGCGAAATCACCCCGCTGCGTGCCGCCTCTAGTATCAGGTTGAAAAAAGATCCGTGTACACGGAGGGAGGAAGTAGAACGGACCCGGTTCCAAACATCCATTTTTACGGTTGAAACAAAAAGAAAGGGTACAAACAAAATTACTAGTACAAACAAAGGAGTATCACTATAGATAGATGTTGCCGGCCCTAGCTGCATTGATCATAGGTGGTAAATTGGGATATTTGGTTGAATTATGAGGCATTGGTGGTAGTAGACGCCAGGGTGGATCTCCTCTCCTCTTGTCCACCCCCAGGTGAGGTCCAACGCGCGTGCACCGCACCACTGGTTTTGGTTTTGGTTTTGGTTTCGGTGGTGCACAGACACTTGGACTTGGCTGTTAAGCAACCGAATTAACTCCTCCAAATCTTCTCTTCTCTTCTCTTCTCTTGTGTGGGTGGAAAAACAAACAACCAGATTCCCTTCACCAACCAACCCCCTGCATATAAAGAGCGGAACAGTGAGGAGGAGTCCACCCCACCCCGCCCCGCCCGGCCCCAAACAATTGTAGCCAGCGGCGCCGGCGAGCGGCGGCAGCCCCTCCGGCGACCGTCTCCAGCGGTCCTCCCCCCTCCATTATATACAGCCTCCCTGCCGCCTCCAGTCCTGCCCGCCGCCCACCAACCAGCGACCTACCTAGGGTTCCCTTCCCTTCCCTTCCCTTCCGTCAGCGGCTAGCTCTCGCCCCTTCTGTTCCTCCAATTACCCACTCCTGCCGCCGCCGTCCGATGACCCAATCAGCGGCCTGCTCCGCCCAGACTCGCCGCGGGTTCCAGCATTAGCGGCAGCGGCCTGTGCGATTCCGCCCCCATTCCGAAAATCGCGGAGGAGGACCAGAGGGGGAAACAAACAATGGGGTGCTTCCACTCCACGGCCAGGGCCAGGCGGCGCTACCCGGGCTACGACGACCCCATGCAGCTCGCCGCCCAGACCGCATGTATGTTTGTTTGTAACCACCTACCAATTTCACTATTCCACTAGTCAAACCTTAATTAATTCACTCACCACATGTGTTTCTTGATCTGCTGCAGTCAGCGTCAGCGAGGTGGAGGCGCTCTTCGAGCTCTTCAAGACCATCAGCGGCTCCGTCATCGACGACGGCTTCATCAACAAGGTAGTAAGCAGCAGCACACCAAATCTTCCATCTTTGTATGCATCCCCTGCTCTGCTTGCCATGTTTTATTTTCTTACCTTCCCTGGGAAACACATAAATCATAAATTACAGTGTTGCACAAAAAAAAAACACAACTAGCCCTGTGGTCCGGTCTTTTTTTAGGGTACGATGGTCCAGTCATTTTCTAAAGCCCTGTTTAAGGAAGTTGTTGTTTTTGGTCACTGTCGGCCTCATAACTTTGTATCAACGACAGGCTGCCGTGTCCTTGTCTCTTTGATGCAGTTACAATCTTTCTAAAAATGAAGACGGCCATGTGTTCGTTTCCTCATCTACGTACAGCCATTTATATTTTTATATAATAGTTTGTTATGGTTTCGTTTTTTTGTAAGCATCACGTCCGTCTATAACCATCATACAAGCTTGTGGACTGCGCCTAATGCTTATCACATAAGATTGTCCTGTTTCCACCAGAGAGAGCAGAGTTTTGCGCCACGCTGAATATATTACACTGGGCTTAATGCCTATCACATACATGCCCTGCTTGCCATGTTTTTCTTTTGTTGGTAAAACACATAGTTTATTTCAATGTTTGAAAAATGGACCGGCTCTGTGGTCCGGGCGTTTTCTAAAACCCTGCTTAGGGAAACTGCCGTTTTCTGGTTGGTGCCGGCCTCATAACTTTGTAACAAAGACAGCCAGGCGTCTCTTTGGTGCAGTTAGAATCTTTCTAAATCAAGAGGGTGATGTGTTTGTTTCCAGATCAGCATTCATTATTTTTCAAAAGTTTGATATGGTCTCCATTTTTTTAAGCATCATGTGCATCTGTAGCCATCATACAAGTGCGTGGACCGCACCTAATGCTTATCAAATAAGATTTTCCTTTTCGACAGGACAATTTCACAGCACAGTACAGTCATTTTCTAAAACCCTGTTTTAGGAAAATTTATTCTTTTGGTTGGTGTCAGCCTCATAAATTTGTAAGACAGGCTGGCGTGTATTTTATGCAGTTTAGAATATTTCTAAATGAAGGGGGTCAGGTGTTCGTTTCCTGATCTGGATTCATTAAAAAAAAGTTTGATATAGTTTCCATTTCTTGAAGCATCAATTGCCATCTGTACACAGGCCTGTGAACTGTGCCGAAAGCTCAGCTCATGAGATTGTCCTTTTGGATAAGACAATATCACGAGACAGTACAGTATATGTATCCAAATATCTAGCTCTCACCATTAAACTCAACTGTCATGCTAGCTTACTTTCTACTCTATAATTCTGCCGCACATGAATCATGTAAGAAGAATTCCAAGTTCTTTTTTATGCACAAGAACAGTTATGCCGTTGTTTATTCTTCCGGAGAAAAACTGGAGTACTAAGTTTTTTTAGATTGATTAATTGAAAGTAAGTGCTGTCAGTAATCCAAATTTGCAATCAGCTTGAACAGCCTCTGTATTTTCTGCTGTGCAGGAAGAGTTCCAGCTTGCATTGTTCAAGAGCAAGATGGACAATATTTTTGCTAACCGGGTATGTTTTGACATGCCAACCTTCAATATGCTTCTGAATTCTGGTACTTGTCTACTATGAGTTGGCATGCTCTCGCCTATGAACTTGCTGAATTTAAGGAACCTTTCAGATATTTGACCTCTTCGATGTCAAGAAAAGGGGGGTCATTGACTTTGCTGACTTCGTTCAAGCTCTAAATGTATTTCACCCTAGCGTTCCAATGGAAGAGAAAATTGATTGTAAGCTACCATCATGATGTTTCTTTTTGTCCATTTCGATAACACAATTCTGCTTTCTGAACATCTCTATTGCTTGCCAGTTTCCTTCAAGCTATATGATATGGACAACACAGGGTTTATCGAACGAAAAGAGGTATTTTTTTAGACTTTATTTCTTTTCTGACTCGCCACATCTTTTACGAAAATTAATTTTTATTCAAATATGAAGATTACAATATCTTCAAGCGTTAGTAGAATTAATCTTCCCGTACTTCCGGACTCTGACATTTAATATATTATTTTGCCATTCTTCCTCCTGTCATTGATGACATAATTTTTACTCCCTTGCTGTACAGGTAAAGCAGATGCTTATTGCCCTTCTGAGTGAATCAGGAATGAGGTTATCAGATGAAACCATTGAGTCAATCATTGACAAGGTATGGACATTTGAGCCCAACACCTGAGCTGTTACTCAAGTTTTGAATAACTTCAATAGTTAAATTCGGAGCCTTCATAAGAGTTCAGATATTGACTGATATGGTTGCTGCTAGCAGACATTTTCAGATGCTGATGTGAATCAGGACGGGAAAATAGATAGAGCGGAGTGGGAGAACTTTGTCTCACGAAATCCCTCCTTGATGAAGATAATGACTCTGCCATACCTAAAGTAAGTGTTATACATATCTGCCTCTGGATAAAAAAAACAGAGTATATATAAAGAGGAAATGACAAGCATTAGAAATACTTTTGTTTTTGTTCCTCTTCTGATGAAGCGAATTAATTATTAGGTTTAAAAACAAAATACCTCCTTAAGATCATAGAACACCACATGCCAGTGACACAAGTAGCTGATGCAATATATGCACTGAGCATGCTGTTAAAAGTAGTTACTGACCAACAGAGCAGAAATTTTTGCAGAACTGTTAGTCTGTCACTTGGTAGTTCGTTGTTGACCTGTGCGCCGCATGATTGCCACAAGCACATTCTTAATTTAATTGTAGCTGTTTATTTTTGCCTGCCCCCTTGGATAGTCAGCTATTTGGCGTATATTTAACTGCAATTATTCAAAGTTCAGTTTTAAAACATGGTTAAAGTGGCAACAAGTTCCCTCCCTTAACTGTACATCGGTAGGTAGAAATGCGCCTCGAATGCGGGTGGGCGGGCTCACGGGCGTGTGCTCTAGCCAACCGAGCACTGCTCGGTTCTCATTCAAGTCCATTTTTTAATATTCAATGAGTTGAAGCATGCAGTTGGCTGCTAATTAATGGTTGCTTATGGTTATCGAAAAATCCTTGCAGGGACATAACGACCACATTCCCTAGCTTTGTTTTCAACTCGAAGGTCGATGACATCGTGACATGAGTGGCATGGTTTCTGTGACATTTCACAAGGCCTGCGCGCAAGAGGGGAAGGACATGTACATCTAATAGTATATCAAGGAGAGTCATTTTTTCTGTTAGAGCAAAAGCAGTAATGCAAGGAGGTTAAGAGATGAGGGGAGGGTTGTAGTCTGAGAAATTGGCAAGTTACCGCGATATGAACTGCATCCATATGCTGCTGCTGTTGTTTGTTGTGAAATGCAATGTTAGTGCCAGAATGGAATTGTATCGCCTGGAAATCAATCTTTTTTATTTCTCCAGCGGCGTGTCATGTTGATCCAAATTGTGTCACGTGGCATAAATAACGTTCGTTTGTTCATTCCTCATGGCTATGTTTGGATTGCGACCAAAATGCACCTTATTAGCCAAAAAAAACAAGTTTGTGACGAAAAAAATTGGCCCCTGTTCGGACAGTTGCTTTTTGAGAAAATGCCTGAATTTACTCATCAAATAAACAAATCACATCGAATCTCCTCGATTTCTATCTAGGTTTTCTTGGGCCCAATTTCCAGGAAAGGCAAGTTGTTTACTTTTTTTTTATTAACTGAAAGCAAGTTGTTCACTGCGTGAGTGCTAAAGCGCGCACGTCCACTACATTGCCGATTTTGTTCGTGGGCCGCTTTTGGGCCGAGCACGACGAATCTATCCTCTCCTCTGCCCACACTCTCTCTTTGGACGAGGGAGAATCTTCTTCTACTAGTCCCACTCCTCCCTCCCGTCGCCGTCGCCGCCGGCCCAAACCAAACCCTAGCCGCCGGCCGGCGCCATGGACCGCAAGCGCATCAACGACGCCCTCGACAGGCACCTCCGGGCGGCCACGGAGCGGTCGTCGCCCTCCACCTCCCGCGCCGCCGCCAAGCCCAAGCCGCCCTCCGCCGCCGCCCCCAAACCCAAAGGTATCGCCGTCGCTTTGCTTTCTCTCTCGTCAACCGGTTCTCCCTCTCCTTTCCTGTACCTTAAAATTGATGTGTTTGTGCGCGCGCGTTGGGGGCGGCAGAGCAGCTGGATTCGGACAGCAGCGAGGGGGGCAGCGCCGGCGGGCCCTCCGAGGCGGACGACACCTTCTGGATCAACTGGTTCTGCGCCATGAGGGGCAACGAGTTCTTCGCCGAGGTCGACGACGACTACATCCAGGACGACTTCAACCTCTGCGGCCTCAGCGCCCAGGTCCCCTACTACGACCACGCCCTCGATCTCATCCTCGACCTCGAGCCCGTCCAGGGTACGGTACACCTACACCTCACCTCCTTCATTTGTTGTGATAACCAGTTCATCATCGTAAGTTAGTAGGTTGCTCTGATCCTCACAAGTTCTGTTTGTTTGTCTGTGTGTGTGCATAAGCAGGCGATGTGTTTGCCGATGACCAGAATGAGCTGATTGTCGCGTCCGCGGAGATGCTTTACGGTTTGATCCATGCCCGGTACATCTTGACCACCAAGGGCTTGGCTGCCATGGTAAGCATCTTTCTACTTCCATGGTTCGTTCGATGCGGGAACTCCTATCGCCGGCATGGTTTATGCTTTTTCGATATCAATCACAGTAGTAGCAGCAGGACCCATTGTCCCGTGCTGATCTGTTCCAAAACCTGAATGTTTCTGCAGCTGGAGAAGTTCAAGAACTGCGACTTTGGAAGGTGCCCCCGCGTGTCCTGCTCTGGCCAGCCCTGTCTTCCAATGGGGCAGTCTGATATCCCTAGGTCCAGTACCGTTAAGATATATTGTCCCAAGTGCGAAGATCTCTACTACCCCAGATCGAAGCACCAAGCCAGTATCCTTTTAAACATCTTATACTTAGATAAGCACTCACAACACTGATCATTTATCTATAACCTGAAATATGCAGCCCCTCTGAATCTGGTAAGAATATGAATCATAATTTTGCAACTATTTTTCCGGTGTGTCCTTTTCAACTTCATGCCACACCTTTCAGTAAGGATTTATAAACTCAAAATGTGTCTTGCTCCATTCTCATCAATGGGATGGAAACCTTGTAAATAATGACGTTTTCTCTGCTTGCCTTTGCATCCCTAATGCTTTGAATGGACTGGCAGCATCTTTTTGAACATTATGTACTTAGATAAGCACTGCCAGGTCTATTCATTGCAAATGCTCTGATCTGGTAAGATTAGGAATAGTGATGTGCCATTATTGATATCGTGCCTTTTCAACATCACACTACCTACCTTTCGTTAATAACTTATGACTGTGAACTCTTTGTTTCGAAAATGTCTTGCTGCCTTGTGATCAATGGGGGCAGAGACATTGTAAGTAGTGGCATTTACTTTGCTTGCCTTTTGGCCTTTGCCTTGTCGCTTTTTATAGACTGACGATTCTGTTACAGTAGTTATGAGTACTATATTTTTTGCATCTGTAAGTACCGATGCAAGGTGCAATTTCTTGTGTGCTGCAAACTGCAGCGCGCCTATGTTAGTCAATCTTTGTACCGCCTTAAGTCTTCCCACAGATACAGACGGAGCATACTTTGGGACGACGTTTCCTCATATTTTCATGATGACCCACTCACAACTGAAGCCACAGAAGCCAGCACAGCAATACGTTCCTCGGATATTCGGCTTCAAAGTCCACAAGAAAACATGACGGTATCTTGGCGGCGAACTGCCCTGTGCTTGTTTTGCCCGGTCCGTCATCAGGAATGGTGATGATCCGCACTAGCTGGGCATGAGAAATGCTATAGCCGATTCAAGACGACAAGACACCAATCAACTATGCCACATTCTTTCTTCTGTATGAAGGCCTGCTCTTTGGAAAAGAAATATCGAGGAGCTGTGGTCAACCTCTGCCGGATTCATGCCATGTCATGTTGGGTATTCAGACGATATGATCCCGGCGAAATGGGAATGAGTTTGTGCGTCTGCTGAATCTGTTGTGTATCCATGTATTTCACTCTTCATTCTGTGGTGGCAAGAAATCGGATGGCTGAGACTGTTGGAGAAAGTCGTGTTTCTGTGTATTGTTGCATGTGATTCGTGGAAAATTCAAATTACATGCACATGAATCTTTTTTTTTCTACTTCCTCCGTCCCACAATATAAGATCCCTTTGCAGCTAACATAGCTTGAAAAACGATCTTATATTGTGGGACGGAGGGAGTACATGATAAAAAAGATGTCACGGACAGTAATGTGTGAGGATGCACATTTAGAGAGACCAAGGTGAGGGAACGGCTGGAACTTGAGAGAGAGAAGGTGACCATTGAAGCAAAGAGAGTGACAATCAAGACGAAGCAAGTTGGGCTTGCGAAGATCATCAAGGAGTCGAGGATCATGTTGGGCAACACTAGCATCATGGACGACAATGTCAAGGAGTGGTTCTGCATAATGCAAAAAGACATCAATGCGCACCATGAATATTGATTCACTCAAATTTTCAACCATGTGTTGAATTGTCGCGTTGTTTGACTTGCTGAATTGTCCTTTAATATTACGTTGATATTCCATATCTATCGCTGAATGTGTGCAATATGATAAAGATAGTGAAAAATACGCCGCCAAGTACCCGGGTTTTAGCAAACAAACCCGTGTTATCCAGGGACAGGCTAGGGACGACATTTGGTGAATGCTGTTGGAGATGACCTGTTAACGTGCACTTCTAGAATTAGAATTATACTCACCCGCAAAAAAAAAATATATCACTCGCACCGTCCTGATTTTTTTGTCACAGAAATTGATGTATCTAAAATTAAAAGTACATCTAGATACAGTTACAGTTTTGCCAAGTGTCAGTCGACTGAGACTTTGTTGTGTGTCTTAGTCAATACTATTTTTCTTTCATTTTGTATGAAGATTCGTATAAAAAAATTCTTTTCAGTTTTTCTTTCTTCTTCTTACATACTATATCACTTGACTGAGACCTAACCACATCCATACATTTATTTTTGTGACAAGTAATTCGGACGAGTGGAGTAGTACGCAAAAGAGAGGAGACGATGAACACCAGAAAGCATTTACATTATCCTTGCTCCGGGCAGTGTATTATTAGACGTTGGATCGAGAAGAGGCGAGAAGCAAGAAACCAACAAATTGTGTGGTGATAAAAGGAAGAAGGCTTCAAGGGACGGCCAGATAAGAAGCAAGCTCCTCCGTCCATTGCTTCCCCCAGCCGCGCATCATCCATCCATCCATCCGTTCCTCTCTCCTTCCTTCCTGTCCACTACACCATGGCGCTCATGCTCAGCCCGGCCGCGACCTTCCTCCCCGTCGCCGGCAAGCCCGCCGCCGCCATGCGGAACCTCCTCTTCGGCACCAGCAGCAAGGGAAGAAGCGTTCGCAAGGTGGTGGCGATGGCGGACATCCTGGGCGACTTCGGGGCGCGGGACCCGTTCCCGGAGGAGATCGCGAGCAACTTCGGGGAGAAGACGCTGGGCAACGTGGACACGCTGCACCGCATCCTCATTCCCACGCTCTCCGTGCTCTCGCTCTCCCGCGTGCCGCTCGACGCCGACCCCGCGCCGCTCTCCGAGGAGGACGCCCGCAAGCTGCTCTTCAAGGTGGTCGGATGGCGGCTCCTCTTCCCCAGCAAGGGCGACTCCGACGTGCTCAAGCTCGAGTGCGTCTGGAAGGTCCGCGACCAGGCCTGCGGCGACGAGCTCATCGCCAGGATCAACAAGACCCTCGACGGCGCCGGCCATGCCCCCGCCGCGCTCCAGTTCGAGGCGCCCAACCAAGTCAGGGCCCAGCTCTACACGCCCTCCGTAGGTCAGTTATAGTACCCTCTTCTCTCTTGTGCTCCAACGCAATGAGCTGCTGTGGTGTGCTTCTCCATGGATGATGGATTCATCGGTGAACTGAACTGATCTGAAATTTGTGCAGGTGGGCTGAGCGCCAACGACTTCATCATCGCCGCGAGGATCGACCAGATCAAGACCAAAGATCTCCTCCCAAAGAAGAGGGTCTGGGCATGCTAATGGCGACCGCCCATGCCATCTTGTTCCTCTTTCTTTGCATTGCATACCTGGACACAGTTTTGTTTCATGGAATGGAAGCCAACCTATCCACCATTGTAGCTCTACCCCTAGTGTTTAATGACGATGATGATGATGCCATCGCCATTTTGCCAATCAAATCAAATGATTTCTCAACTTCTTAGGTTCTTCCGAATGCGAGGCACGATTACAACAACACTTGTATAATTACTAAAATGTCAAGAAATTCATTAGCTATTTAAATGCTACTGATCTGTACTTGCTGAAGAAGAAAGAGATCACTTGATGAGGTTGGTGATGGCGCCGGCGATGATGGCGATCTGGATGCAGTCGACGGTGTGCAGGGCCAGCGGCTGAGGCAGGGTCACGCCGGCGGTCGCGAACGCGGCGTTGCACAGCTGCGTCTGCGCCAGGGCCTCGTCGAGCCTCTGCTTGGCCGCGGGGTAGGCGTGGTTGTTGATCTGGTCGTGCGCGTTGGCGAAGCACATGCCCACGTCCTTGTAGAGCGTGGCGCACTTGGCGAGCGCCGGCTTCATGCGCACATTGGGGTCGGCGGCCTCCTGGGCCTTGACGTCGGCGGCGGCGAGGTTGGCGTTGTCGACGCCGACGAGCGAGGCCACCTTGGCCAGGCCCCGGGCGTCCGCCGCCTCGAGGCTGTCACGGTGGCTGCCGAGCTTTGACATGCACAGCTCCACGTTGACGCGCACGTCACTGGCCGCGGCCGCCTTGCACGTGTCCGCCACCGCCGCGTTGACGGTGCGGGCGCTCAGGATCAAGGCCGCCGCCGCCAGCACGGTGGCTAGAGCCGTCGTCATCGTCGTCGCTGTCTTCATTGATTCAGAAGTCTTCTTGTTTGCCAAAAATAACTTGTTAAAATTATGAGGGAAGCAAAGCTAAATAAGGATGAGGCTGGCATGGCAGAGCGGAGAAGAGCCATTATCGGAGTCTTCTGCCCTGCCTGGCGATGCCCATGGCTTCTCAATATTCCGATCCCCATTTTGGGACTAATTCATTTATCCACCACTGGGCTATGTATAGACTCAAGAAGCTCAACAACTTTCTTGCTGAAAAATCACAGTATGCTTACAAGACAAACATTTCTTTAACAGAATTTGGTGAGCAAGCACTGTAAGAAGAACAGCACTACTGCACTATCAGCTACCATAGTTACAGAAAAATCATCGCAACGGTGGGGAATGGAGCTGAATTGATGTCAGTGATCACCAAACATGAGGTTGTTGATGTGATGGATGCTGATGTCTGAAATAGGCTCGATCGGCCTCTCCGCTTCTTCTTCTTCCTCCTCTTCTTGTGCCGTCGCGGCATCAACCGGCACGGCGGCGGCGGGGCGCTCGCGGCTGTACTCATCTGGATGGATGAATGGATGGAAATGATCAAATGAGCAACAACAAATTGAGCGCATCAATGTTGTAGCTAGAGAGCAGAAGTAATTTGGTTGCTGAAGTGAAGATGGTGGTAGATGACGAACCGAAGATGGTGGAGAAGGAGGTGGGGGGAGGGGTGGCGACCAAGTTGGAGCCGAGGTAGGCGAGGAGGGAGAGCGCGAGGGCGACCATGGCGAGCGACGGCACGGCCAGCGCCCAGTACTTGGTGGGGTAGTAGGTGATGCCCAGCGAGCGGAGCGCCGGCTCCGGCGTGTAGGCCCACGCCAGGTACACCGCCGTCGCGATCACCACGGTGATGGACCCCACGAACCCGTACACCTCCGACGGCTTGGGCCCCGCCGCCGGCTCCCTCCCCCGCTTCGGGTTCCGCTGCCGCTCCCGCTCCGGCCGCCCGAACTGCGGCCGCCGGCTCCGCAGCAGGCTCACCGTCTGCCGCGGGCTCCGCACCACCAGCGACGCCGACGCCGCCGCCGACGGATCCATCCGATCTGCTCTGTTCCCTTCCGTCGAGATGCGGGGTTATTTGGGCTGTGCGGTGGGCTTGTTCGTGGGCCTAAGCTCAGATCAGATGGGCCATGGACGGGCCCGCCATGGAGGAAAAAGGCCGAAGGAGGAGAAGGAGAGGCTCACCGGGGAGAAGAGGGAGGACGGAGCGGAGCATGGCGCGGCGGCAGGGGAGGAGCAGGCCGGAGCCGCGGTGGTCCGAGCCGCCGCCGGGCCTCTTCCCCGCCGGCATCGACGACCTCCTCCGCCTGCTCGCCGT